TCATCCTCTTCATCCCTTCTCCTCCTACCCTCAATCTTTCCCAGCATCAGGATCTTTTCAAATGAGTCAGTTCTTCACATCAGGTGGCCCAAGTAGTGGAGTTTCAGCTTCAGCTTCAGTCCTTCCAATGAATATTCAGGGTTGATTTCCTTTAGGATTGACTGGTTTGATCTCCTTGCTGTCCAAAGGACTCTCAAGAGTCTTCTCCAACACCACAGTTCAAAAGCACCTTCTTTATGGTCCAACTCTTACATCTGTACATGACTACTGGAAAATCCATAGCTTTGACTATATGGACCTTTGTTGGTAAAGTGATGTCTCTGCTTTTAATACAATGTCTAGATTTGTCATAGCTTTCTTTCCAAGGAGAAAGCATCTTTTAATTTCATGGCTGCAGTCACTGTCCACATTGATTCTGGAGCCCAAGAAAATAAAATCTGTCACTGTTTCCCCCTTTTCCCCTTCTATTTGCCATGAAGTGATGGGACTGGATGCCATGATCTTCATTTTGTGAATGTTGTTTTAAGCCAGCTTTTTTTCAATATCCTCTTTCACCTTCATCAAGAGGCTCTTTAGTTGTACACCTGTCTACTACTTTGTATAATTATAAAATTGTCGTCAGATAACTAAAGTAAGAAGGTAGAAGTGAAGCTGAAGATAACCCCAGTGGATGGAAAGTTGAATTAAATTTTTTGTTTCAGTTACACATTGCTGTATAATATACATCTCTAAAACTTAGTGTCATGAAATAAAAGTTGTTTATTCTTTGCAATTCTCTGGGTAAGCAACCTGGGTTCTAGCATAATTCTTGAGCTGGCCTTCGGTAGGATACCTGCAATCCGAGTTTAATGGGACTGAGGGGTCTGAGATGGCCTCACTACCATGTCTCGCTGCAGGTCTGGTTCTGCCCCACGGTGACCTCTCCTCCTCTGACAAGCTGGGCTGGGCCTCTGCATAGCCAGGGGTCTCAGGGTCCTGGGGGAGTGGCGGAAGAAGTTGCAAGACTTCTTGAAACCTGTGCTCTGAGACGCACACAGCATCACTTTCTCCACATTCTGTTGGTCAAAGCAAGTCACAAGGCAGCCCAGATTTAAGGGCTCTATTTTCAAGGAGAAAAGGGCTCTATCATGGAGCCCAAGCAAAAATGGGCTAATTAAGGGACATTTCAAGTTGGGATAAGGGACTTCACACAAACAGAGAGCAGTCTGAGGTCACCTGGTGCTGGGAACAGAGAAGGGGGATATGGAAAGAGGCAGGCAAATCTGAAGAGTCTCAGGAATAGCTGGGGTGCTCCTGTAAGTGCACTGGGTACCTTGAAACGTGGGCATCTGTTCTGTAAGTAGCACCAACATCATAGAAAATAAAGTTTGTTTAGAAGACTATTAAGCTTAGTCACTGCCCATCCTAGGCCATCCTGCTCTCCCAGCTGGAATAAGAAAAATACAAGGAAAGTCAGAGAGAGAGAAAAAAAAAAACTAATCTACTGCAACCAGGTAGGGGTGGAAAGAAAAATCAGCGTTATAAACCCCACCCCCAATACACATATTCACATATCCACATGCTGTCCCTCCATCATGGAGCGCCTCCTCTTTCTTTAAAGTAGATATTTTCAGTCCTCCTCACCCAATACTTCCAATGCATCTTCCTTTTTTTTTTTTTCTTTTAACATTTATTTTGTTGCAGTAGGAGAATTCTTAGTTGTGGCTTATGGGATCTAGTTGGCCACTGGATCACTGGGGAAGTCCCAGATTTTATGTTCTTATTTCTAGACCAATACTTCCCTTGCTTTTGGCCGGTGCTTTTAAAAAATTTCTGCAAGAATTTATAACTTGTTCATATTCTCTTATATTTAAGGGCACTTCTCCATTGATGTTTTTCCAAAAACTGATGAATACTCTTTACAAAGAGATAAATGGACTCGAGGTACTCTGTCCAGCACCGTTGGCTCACTGGCAGGACAGAGTGGGGGGAAAGAGGTTACAATATGTATCATTTTATACTTATAGTATAGAAGTATAAAAGCTAAACTTTTATAGTACTTTGCTAAGTCCTAAAGGGCTCCCTAGTAATAAGAAAATGCTGTTGTTACTGTTGTTTAGTTGCTAAATTGTGTCCGACTATTTTGGACCCCATGGACTATATAGTCTGCCAGCCTCCTCTGTTCATGGTATTTCCCAGGCAAGAATACTGGAGTGGGTTGTCATAACCTTCTCCAGGGTATCTTCCCAGACCAGGGGTGGAACCAATGTCTCCTGCATTTCGGGTTGATACTGAGCCAGCAGGGAAGCCCAAGAAAATGCTGTAACTGTGTACTAATCGATGCTACATTAGCTACTGGTTACTTTACACGAAGAATTGTATTTGTAAAAAGTGTCTAAAACCACACCATAGCGCGGCAATGTTGGAGCCTGTCTCTGCAGCATGCACCTCTCCTCTAGAGCACAGAATGTGCCCAGCACAGCTGGGGACCATGGTGCACGCTTTGTAAGTGGAGGAAGGATCATTACCGTGACCATCCCTCCCAGAGGTAGGAGGCTACCTGGGGTCAGAGTCCAACAGGAATGCTGCCTGATCCTTCCATCTGGACACTCGTCATTTGGGGATTGTGCTGCAGTCTGTGACAAATGGAGAAAAAAGGAAGGGGGGCTATTTTGCGTTCGTGCTCAGTCGCTAAGTCATATCTGATTCTATGTGACTCAGTGGACTGTAGCCCGCCAGGCTCCTCTGTCCATGGGAGTTTTCAGGCAAGAATACTGGAGTGGGTTGCCATTTCCTCCTCAAGGGGATCTTCCCAACTCAGGGATCAAACCTGTGTCTCCTGCATCGACGACCCGCTAAGCCATCGGGGAAGCGTCAGTACAGCTTCTTTGAAATACATCAACAAACAAATGACACACCCACCAGCACCAGGACACTTCCGAGGCCAACCATCAGAGACCACAAAGTGGGCAGGGAGCCAGTTCCTGGAGATCCCTACCCCCTTCACCTGTAATAGTTGGAATAATCCTTCCACTCATTAGCCTATGAAATTGTCTAGTCCATAAAAACTAACCACACCCGATTTCCCAGTCCTCTAGCCTTCTGAGATGGCCCACACTCTATGGAGTCATTTCTCTCTAAATAAATCCACTTCTTGGCTTCCTTGGCGGTGCTAGTATAAAGAATTGGCCTGTAATGCAGGAGATACAGGTTCCATCCCTGGGTCTAGAAGATCCCTGGGAGAAGGAAATGGCAACCCACTCCAGTATTCTTGCTTGGAGAATCCCATGGACAGAGAAACCTGGTGGGCTATAGTCCATGGGGTTGCAAAGAATTGGACATGACTAAGCGCACACATACCTACACCTATCCAAAAAAGAAAGAAAGAAATCTGCCTCTTATAATACCTCTGGATCCTTATTCTGTGATCGGCATCAGACAAACCAAACCCATATTCTCTTCCATGCAATACTCATTTGAATAATTGAATGTTCCCTGTTGTAGAATATACTACAGAACTGGTTGAGTTTCATAATGCTAACCGAAAGGAAAATTTGTCTCCAGTAATGATACTTCAATGTGTGGAAGCTTTAAGGACTTGCACACCATCTCATGGTTTTGAACTGTGTGGGTAGAGACAGAGTTGACAGATTAGTCAGGGATTTGTCAAGAGTATTAATTACAAACTTTGAAATCTTGGTCAGTGAAAGTTCATCATAGTGCACCTTGTGAATGTGATCAAAGTCTTTTCAGTACTGATTTGATGACACTTAACCACAGTGTGTAAAGAATGAAGGTTTTCATTAGAAAATACTGATGCAACAGAGCAAGTTTTAAGGGAAGATGGATGGTTAGACTATTAAAATTCATGTTCTTCCCCCACCTACTCCCCATCCCCCCTTGGGGAGCCCACTGTCATTGTCTCTGAACACCTCAAGTGGCATTTTGAACTGTCGCAGAGAACTGTCATCTTAACAGCATTACTGTAACTCAGTGATGACCGCCACCATGAGGGCAAAGGTGGGGTTGGTGTAAGTGATGTTTTAAAAACCATAAAAATAAACCATAAAAACCTGGGGGCTAACTGTAATTTAGTGAGCGAAAGAAATTTATAGCTGGCTGAAAACTTGAAAAATGGAGGAGTAAATTGTGTAGCTAGTAAGTGGGAAAGGAAAGTAGTTCTTCTGCCCTGCCCTTGTCAAGGTTTAGGAAAACAATCTATTATGTTTAAGAACTTTTTTTTTTCCTGGCACCTAAACCATGGGAAATAAAATAAAAATACACTCAGTGCAGCTCCTTCAAAATCACTGGCCTGCATTTCCCTTTCTCTTCTGCAGGAAAAGCTTATCTGTGCCTTCCAACTTTTGTCAGGACACAAGGGTGTCAGTGGGGTTCCTTTGTGTTATATTTCCTGTGCAGGTATATTTCCTGCACAGCAGCGGGGGTGGGAGGTGCACAGAGGTACCAGTGCATGGCCTTGGTCCCCCAGCTCCACTGTGCAGATGTTTCAGGAACTGTGGTCTCTGCCAGCCAGGGGTGGGAGGTGCCGGTCAACGTAGAAGAGCGGGAAGTCTCCACTGGTTCACCTTTTTCTGATGCGCTTGCTCTTCAGTTGCCTCTGTGTGCCAGAGGGTGGCAGCCCAGTCACTCCAGAGGTAGAGTGGAGGGAAAGGGAAAGAACTGGAGGAGAGAAGGGGGGAGGGGAGGGGAGCGGCTGGAACGGGGGATTCTCCAGGTGTTGGGCTCTGGCTCCCAGCTAATTTGGAGCCCACATCCACGGCTTGGCGGAATAAGCTTGCTTCTGCTAGACTAAGTGTCACGAGCTAGGAATTGCTAAGATGAAGAAGGTTTGTGACGGTGACCGACAGTCTCCACCCTCCTGGGTCCCAGGAAATCGGAAGGGAAGCTAGTGTCGGCGAGGCTGGGTGTACCGGCTCTCGCGGGTGGCAGGGCGGCAGGCACCAAAGCGCTGTGAGGAGTAAGCCAACATCTCACCCGCTCCTCTGTGTCGTCTTTTGCAGTTACTCCATTTGTGCGACTCAGTGAAGGATGATGCCCTAAGGGTGATCTCTGCCTTTAACATCTCACACGCCTCCCTCCACGCACCGATCGCTGGACTCGCCAACCCAAAGGCCGCCTGGGTTTTGTACCCAGCACCACAGCATTCCCTGGCCGGGGAAAGAGCGCGGTCTCCGCGGCCCAAACTGGGAGCCAAGTTGTAAGCGGGTGGGGCGGCTAGGGTGGTGGCCCGCCCGCAGCTGCCAGAGTGTTTCTCAGACGCCTGGAGCTGGGGCCCGAGGCCGGCTGGCACGCGCTGAGCCGCGGCCCTTGGGGATTTCGGTCATGGAATGGGGTTCCCGCTGAGGCTGGCCAGGCCCACTAGGCTCTTGGGAGGCGGCAGCCCCGTTTCCGACCCGGAACGCGTTCTTTTATCCTCCCCAAGTAACCCCGACTCGCCGGGCCATGCCCTCTGCCGCCTAGGGCACTACACCGAGTGGGCTTTCCTTTGGGCGCGCTCCAGAGCCGGTTGCCATCCAAGGTCTCCCGCTGCTAGTGGTGATTCAGGTTCCCAGTGATTTGGGAAGACGGTGGTGCTGGATGAAAAATAAATAAAAGTCTAAAAATGAAACGCCCGTAGGCAAAGGTTCAGTTCAGTAAGTGACGCTTTCCCAGCCGCCACCCCTCCCCGAGGCCCTGCGAGGAAACACAGGAGCCGGGAAAGGGGAGTGTGAACCTGGAGTCTTGCTTTGGGCAAAGCATGAACCCGGGCGCGTCCCTCCAGGCTGGCAGCTTCCGGACCGACGGCGAGACGAAGCTCGGAAACATTTTTACCAAATTAAAGTGTAATGTGTTCTTGAGAAGAGCACAGACAGGGCACAGTTTCATAATGAAATGAAGCGTCGGGAAGGTTCCCGCAGCTTGCAGAGCACGGGGAGGTGAGCGAAGCGATCCACTGTAGTTAAGTTGGTTTCGGGACTTGGAGAGACACGCCTGTGGTTCCAGCGAGGGCCATAGATGTCGCCCGACTTCACTCTTGCTTTCAGTATATGCCCTCCGTTTTCCCTCTCCACATCTCGCGGAGGAGGCAGAAGGGGACACCGTTGTGCTTCTGTCCGCAAGAGCAACATCCAGGACGGGAGCCAAAACCTCACACCTACCGCCCTCCCCTAGGCTGGGGCTCTGCGCGAGAGGGCGTCAAGGGTACGCCGCCACCCGACGCCAGGCCCTTGGTCGAAGCTCCTCAGCACAGTCTGGGTTGCGCGGACTGCCACCTCCGAGCCGACCGCCTGCTTGTGGCCCAAAGAAGAGCATATAGCCGGCTGCTTTCTCCGACTCCTTTTTTTTTTTTTTTAAAGTGTTCACAGGGTCACCAGAGCAGACGACGCGGGGGCGGCGGAGCTGCAGAGAAGCAAAAAACAACCATCAGGGTTTCTTCTGTGTGGTTCTTTTCCGGTCCCTGTCTTCATCGTCCAACCCCACGGAGAGCGCGGAGCACTCGGGCGCCCGGCGGGTTTGGGGCTCCTCGCGGGCACGGAAGGTTGGTCTCTTTTCCCCGAGTGCCGCGATAGAAGCTTAAGGCTCAGAGTTTGCCTGCGGCCGCCACCTGTAGCCACCAATGGCAGTTTCAAGCTGCGGACACCCGCGCGCGCGTCCTTTCCCTCCTGCAGCGAAATCCTGGGGTGGAGCCCGTTGCGCGTCCTCCAGCCCCTCGGCCTCCATCACCTCGCTCAGGACTCACGGGAGGATGCGCTGAGAAAACAAACCTGGGGCTGTGCTGTTAATGTTCCGCACTTGCTTATAAAACATAAAAAACTGACCAAGGTGGCCAGACGGCAGGATCATTCCTCGCTGACTTGCTTCTCTGCACCGAGGCACTCTTCTGGGGTTCGGGTGAGGGAGGCCCCTAAATTGAGTCTGTAATCCATCTAGCCTGATCTCTCCCACGGCGGGATGCTCCATCTCCTAACCTATTTGCCCTCCATTACTCCGGCCGCGGGCGTCTCGGAAGGGCAGAGGTAGGGATGCAGGATGCGCATTGAAAGGGCCGTAGGCGTGCAGACCACGGCGTTCACAGACTTTGGTCTCCCGGGGAAGGAGTGGGAGTGGGGCTTCGGACTCTCAAGGACAAGGGGACAGGGACCCGCAGAGAGGAAGGGTGGGGGTATATTGCACTCTCCCTGCTGCTCTCTACGAGCCCTCCGAGGCCCTCGCGCTGCCTTCTCTGACCTTAACACGCCAAGGGACCATTCCTGGACGGTTCTCTGAGAGCCGAACAATTTTCGAGGACCCGATCAAGTGGAGGCACCATCCTGTCTCCCATCTGGAGGCCACGACTCTTCCCAGTCCTTTTTTCTTAAAAGGATTTTAAAAGATTTTTTCATTTCCCTATTTCACCTGCTCAGCGTTCACTCCCAGCCTTGCAGCGGGGCTGCGGAAAAACGCATCCGGGGATCGCCCTGGGTCATTTTCTCATCTCCCCATTACAGACTTTACCTCTTACCAGAGGAGGTTTGGCGCGGGAGAAAAGCTGGAGGCAGCTGGGGGTGGCTTTAGAGAGGGCGCCTAAGAGTACCGCGTTAGGCGAGAGAGAGGAAGGTGAACAGTCGGCAGATGGGGGTCCAACGCGGAGCCCCCTCATCTGGAAGGGAGGAGAACTAAGAGACACCCCTTTCACCCTTGGACCTGCGCGTTCCCGAGGACCCACCCAGTCTCGGCGCCTGCCCCAGGACGGGTCAGAAGGGAAACTCTCGAGGCAGAGCCAAGGCTCAGGGGCGCCTCTTGAGGCTCTCCGCGGGCGGCAGAGACCCGGCCTGGCTCAGAGTGTGCCCGGAGCGCCCCCTCTGTTCCACTCGCACGCCTCGGCCACCAGTGAATTGCGGGGGAGTGTGGGGAGGAAAGAGTGCACTTTGGGATGGGGGATGGGGGCACGCAGAGCAGTCCTTAGCCCAAGTCTCTCCGGTAAACACGCCCGACAGGGGCAGGGCCGGCGGCGCGCGCAGCGGGGAAGTCGGCGGGGACGCCCCCTCCTTTACCTGTCCGAGCCTGCACGCGCGGGCGGCCGCGGCGCCGCGGGGGCGGGGCTTTCCAGCTCGCGCGCCGGGCGGGACTTAGCGGGGGCGGAGCCCACGGTGATTGGGCCCGGACCTGGGGCCGCCAGCCTGAGCTGGGCAGTAGCGCCGCGCAGGTTTCACTTCGCTCCGCGCAGCCGCCAGGTCTCGATCTTGCAGGAGCGCTCGGTCCCACTTCGCCGTCGCCGCCGCGGTCCCCGGGTTCTCGCAGCCGCCCTGCGCGCCCTGCCCTCTGTGGCCAGCACCGTTTCAGGCTGTTTGGGTTCGCCTCGCTCTCGCCGCCGCCGCCGCCGCAGCCGGTGCCACCGCCTCGGTGCCGTTCCCCTGGCCCTCGTCCCCCCAATGTCTGACCCTAATTCACGAACTGAGAAACGCAAGGTAAATACTTTCGAGTCCCGGGGAGCAGGCCGGGTGCGGATGGAAGATTGGCGTTGGAGCCAGCACGGCGCCACCTCCAGCCCGCTTCCCGCGCACGTGCGGTTAGAGGCGCGCGTTCTCGTCCCGCGTGTTGTCCGGTGGGAGGCGGTCACTGGTGCGGGTCGAGTTCGCGCCGCAGGCAGGGGAGGGTCGTCCGCACCGAGGCTGCGAGCACTTAACGGCTCGGGCGGGGATGCGGCGCCCCGGGATGGTGAAACCTCTCCGTGCCGACTGGGGGAGGCGGCGCGTGCGGCCCCGCACTGGCTGGGGAGCTGGGGGCAGCCGCGCCGGGCCAGGCTGAGAGCCCGGCCGTAAAGTCTCGCCAGCCCGCCAGCTCCGACGGGCCCGAAGTAGCGGCCGCGAGATACCAGTCGGTCGCGCGTCTCGGCTTTTTTTTTGGGGGGGGGGGGCAGGCGCTGGCCCGTTGTGAAGGATTTATGGAACAGCGACGGCGATTAAACTGACGGGACTCGGCTTTTCTTTTCACTCATTCAGGCCGAAGTTCTGGGCTGCTGCTGCGTTCGTCCTCTCTCTGGGACGTGTCTGGGGGCCCTGCCCCGTCTGCGGGCGCTCTGCGGACGATGCCAGACCAAGATCCACAAACAGCGAGAGACAAGAGGGCCTCCTCCGACCGCCGGGGGCACGCGGTGGACGAGCCGCTGGCTGTAGAACCGGCCCGGTCCGTGGGGCCCGACCCTCTTAGCGATTCGGGTGTGCCCAAGCGCCGCTCGACCCACTCGCAGTGCTGGCTGGCTGGCTGGCTGTACTGTGCCCTCGGGGGCCTGTTACTCGGGGTTGGCGCAGGTAGTGGAATGCCTGCTGGACCCCGGCGATGGGGGTGTGGATATATTTCTTGGCGGTGGTTGCGGATGTGCGCGTCGGTGGCCATTTGGTGCGTGTCCCGTGGCGCGTGGGGAGAAAGAGGGAGGAAGTCGGAGGAGGATGGGGGCTGCGGCTGGGGAAGGGGTGGCCTTTAGGGTGCCCACCCTAGTGGGCCTGGACTGGGGTCGGCGGCCGGGGCTGGAGTCGGGTGCCGGCCCTGCGGGTTTTGTCTCCAGGTGACCGGCTCTTGGGGGCGGCGGGAGCTGCAGAGGCGGGCGCGGCGCCAGGACTGACGGAGGGGCGGGGCAGGGTTGGCTGGGCAGCCCCGGGCCCAGAGGCCCGGGAAACCTCCGCCGCCGCTCCCGCCGCAGTCAGGGCCAGAGCCGCGTTCGGAGGCGAGTTTGTCAACAATCGCCTCGCCTTCGGCGGCCTGTTGGGCAGGCGCCGCCCCCACCGCCGCCGCCGATTGGCTGCGGATCCGAGCGACCGCGCGAGGGCCAATTGGGAGCGCGGGCACCCGGCGCCGGCGGCGCGGGGAGGTCGGCGGTGCCGGCGGCGGCGGGCGCAGTGCGCGAGGGGAGGAGCGGGAGGAGGCGGAGGATGTTCCCGGCTGCTGCGGCCGGGGCAGCGCGGGCCACAGGCGAGGCGCGCGGAGCCCTCGGCTGCCCGGCGGAGCGCGGCGGCGGCGGGCGGACGGCGATTTGCAAGCTCTGCGCTGCCGGGGGAGTTCAGAGCGCGAGTCTCGGGCTTTGTTTCCCGCGCAGCCTTCGTGTGGACTGTCGGGGGGTTCCAGGTCGGCGAAGCGCGCGGGCTGGGCGCCGCGGGGCCCGGGCTCGGACGCGACTCGGAAGGGAAGGGGCGGACGTGAGTTTCGGCCTAATTGCCTTAGGAAGGGAGGGCTTTGGGGGTGCGGGAGCCGCGCGCCCCGATGCCGCTCAGCGTGAGGAGTTACTTGTGGATTTGGCTGGGGTCGCCAGGAGCCGGCTCAGGGGACCTCCCTCCCATTCGGAGGTGTGCACCCAACAGCGCGGGTGTACCTCGGAGAAGTTCTGTCGGGTTCGGTGTGGCGCGCTGCCCGCGCCCCCGCCCGCCCCTCACCGCGGGAGGAGGGGCGCGCGGGCCAGGAGCGGGAGGGACTGCGGGCGGGTGGAGAGCCGGAGCCGAGCCGAGCAGCGCTGAGTTACAAACTCTATTGTGACGCACTTACTACGACTGACGGCCCTTGCCAAACCTTCCCCAGACTTGCTGTCCTCAGCACTTTCGGCAGAACAATGGGGCCGGAGCGGGGAACGCGGCCAGCCGCCTGCAATCGCTGCATCTGCGCCCGCTCCTGGGCTCCAGTGTTGTATCTGATCCGGGGAAATCAGAGCCCGCGGGGAGTTTCTGACTTATTCTAGTGGGCCCTGGGCAAAGAACACTTGTCAATAGACCTCAAACAAGCAGCCTGTTTTAAAACGTGTGTGCGTGTTACAGCACCAGTCCCAGGAGTAATTGACATTGGTGCTGTTTTGTTTGGTGGCAGGAAGTTTAGTCCCTCTCCCCACCTCCCCCCCCCCCCCAAATAATGATACCTTTATTTTTAAGGTTACTTCTATTATTTTGGAAGATCCTGTGGAGAACTATTCTATTAGTGATGACTTTAACAATGTTAAAGTATTGGGTGTTAATTCTAAGAATTTGTCATGAAGAGGTGAAAGTTTTCCCCATTTAGGTATTCGTTGTAATTGTTAGTTTTGTTAAGATAACCCTAGTTTTAATTTTCCTTGCAGAAAAAAAGACCAAATGGCAAAGCAACCTTCCGATGTAAGTTCTGAGTGTGACAGAGAAGGGGGACAGCTGCAGCCTGCCGAGAGGCCTCCTCAGCTCAGACCGGGGGCCCCCACCTCTTTACAGACAGAGCGGCAAGGTAATCCTGAAGGAGAAGGGGACCGCTGCCCCCAAGGCAGCCCGCAGGGCCCGCTGGCCCCACCGGCCAGCCCCGGCCCTTTCGCTACCAGATCCCCGCTCTTCATCTTCGTGAGAAGATCCTCCTTGCTGTCTCGATCCTCCAGTGGGTATTTCTCTTTTGACACAGACAGGAGCCCGGCACCCATGAGTTGTGACAAATCCACACAGACCCCAAGCCCTCCTTGCCAGGCATTCAACCATTATCTCAGTGCAATGGGTAAGCGATACCGGGGAGGCGACTGCATGTGTGGGTGCTTGAGCATCAGTCCACTGGCGTGTGGAGCATGTAGAGCAGCCCCTGTTGAGACTCCTTTTACTGATTTGTTTCATGTTCTGTTGGGAATGGAGCACATGTCAAGTAAAACATCCAACCAACATTTTAAAAAGCATGTTGCTAAGTTTCGTGGCAGTGGTGGGTTGATGTCCATGTATCAGCCCGTTGGGGGGAGTATGTATCAT